TATGGCAGGAAATTGATGTTATGGAGACAGTGGTRTGGGAGASKAAAAAGGATGCTGAAATGTATAGAAAGCTAGTGGAGAGAAATAGGGTGTTTGAGTTTCTCACTGGACTCAACCCTGAGTTTGATATTATTAGACAAAACATTTTGGCCAGGGATGAGGTTACTCTTTCACATGCATATGCTATGATAAGTAGTGAGGAGAGTAGGCGGCAGGTGCAGTTGAAGAGTCCATCTACAGAACATTTTGCACATGCGGGAATGAAACCGAAGGGCCCTACTGAGAAAAGAGAGCAGATGTGTGAATATTGCAAGAAACCAYKRCATACAAARGACACYTRYTGGAAGMTTCATCCTGAACTTCTTCCTGATAGGTTTAAGAACAATAATAACCCTAAGAAGGGCAGTCAGGTGGGAAAATCCAAAATTGCTAATGCTGGTACAGTGTCTGAAGGGGGAAGCAAGGAAAGCGAAGAAAAATCAACTATTGAGCAGTTGGCTGCAATGAAGTTGGATTTTGAGAAGTATGGGAGGCTCCTAAATCACCTGGGAGCTACGGTTTCTTCAACTCACCCTTCCAACAGTACATCATCTTCATCGACTTTTGCTCACTCAAGTACTCGTGCTTCTGTGAATCATGCTTCAGCTTCAGGTAATCATAAAATCCCTTGGATTATTGATTCCAGTGCATCAGACCATATGACCAGCCTATCTAACCTGTTTTGCTCATATCACCTCCTCTTTGGGAAAGAGAAAATATCTCTTGCCGATGGGTCCCTTGCCCCCATCTATGGTAAAGGTGATATAAAGACCTCTGACACCCTGCTCTTATCTTCTGTTCTTCATGTCCCTAAGCTTAACACAAACCTCTTATCTGTTAGTAGCTTAACAAAGTCAATGAATTCCAGCATAACTTTCTTTCCCACTCATTGTGTTTTTCAGGACCTGCAATCTCAGAGGATGATTGGGAGTGGCCATGAGGCGAACGGAATATACTTGCTGGACACACCAGATCAAGCTTTGGGACCACCTCATGGAGTTGCCTTCGAGTCCGTTGTGTCAGAGTCTGTTAACAAAATTTTATCATGTCATTTTCGGTTTGGTCACTTGTCCTTTTCTGCTTTGAGTCATCTGTTCCCAGATATGTTTAAAGGAGTGTCTTTATCGAGTCTTCATTGTGAATCATGTGAGCTGGCAAAGCAAAATATTCCGCTCTGACAATGCTAAGGAGTATTTTGAGAGAATCCTCTCCTCCTATCTTGAAACTTTTGGGGTTATTCATCAAAGTTCTTGTTCCTACATTCCACAACAAAACAGGGTGGCGGAAAGAAAGAACAGGCATGTGGTTGAGGTTGCCAGATCCCTCTTATTTGCATCCCATGTTCCTATAATGTTTTGGGGAGATGCTGTTCTTACTGCTACCTTTCTGATCAACCGTATGCCCTCYYGGGTCCTTGGCTTTARAACCCCTTTTAGTCTTCTCTTCCCGGATGATGATCTCTTTTCTCTTCCTCTCCGTGTGTTTGGGTGTACTTGCTATGTGCATATTCATAGTCACCAAAGGCACAAGTTTGAACCTAAGGCTCATAAGTGCATGTTTCTGGGATATGCTTCCACACAGAAGGGTTATTGCTGTTTTGATCYAGTTCGTGGCACCCGCTTTGTATCTCGGGATGTCACCTTTGCAGAGTTGACTCCCTTTTTTAGTATTCCTCCTAAAGGGGAGAAATCTGATGAATACTTTGCTATCTCCAGCTGTTCCTCTTCCCATCCCTTGTGAGTCCGATCATGGGGTGTCCACCTCTTCCACTGGACCTACCCCTGATGTCCCTACTCCCCCTCCTGCTTCTGCTCCTGCTCTCCAAAGGTGGTACCAAAGGTAGAGATTCAGACATGTGCAGG